TACAAATGCACCTTTTATATTAATAAACATTAAATAAAACTTAGAAGCTGACATTTAAATATATAAAACAAATCACTTTTAAGACTAAATTAAAAGATATTTTTTCAGTAAAAAAATAGAAAGTTAACTGAACTTGTGAAATGTTAACCATTTTACTGTATAACATGAAAGATCCTAAATGGCAACACTAAATGATTGTTAAATTTGTAAATAATTAAGGCTCACTTTTGTTTAATGAAGTAGCCCTGATTTATTTTAATATATTTAACATCAAAGCTTTTGAAGGTCTCAGAAAAAAAGCTTATTATTTTGTTTACAATCTTTTTTGATGACAATTAATTATTATTTGATACAGGGTAGTTTACACTATATGCAGTTACCTATAATGCTAATTGCAGCTCTTTGAAAAAAATCTGGTATTTAAATTCTACTCAGAAAGTTCATGGTTTGGGCTGTTCCAGCAAAACATATGACCCAGGGAAGGCATTTTTAGTGTGGGGTACTAACCCAAAGAATGAATTAAAAAATTTCTTACCATTTTAATATGTACTCTTTGCAATCAAAGTACCCTGACATATTTTTTTTAAAAAAAACTGCCTTACCTGGGCACCATGTATGTTTAAATGGAACAGCCTCAAATGTTTGGGGGAGAATATTAGTAAATTTATGAGATTATTTTATTACGTGTTTGAACTGAACATTTTTGTACATAGGGTCTAAGTAAGAGATACTATATATATCTGGTACATATTTATGTATTATAAATATTCATAAATCATATGATTTTGCCTTTATAGTATGACATGAGTTGCTTGTAAGATTTCAAATTCAGAGGATTTTTATTTATGCAAACATATTTCTTGTATTGTTTTGTATTCTTCCTATGATAGAAGTAATAGCAACATAAATACTGTACTGGTTATATGTAATATGTCAATGTTATATATAATAATTCTTACTCCAGTGAATTCATTATGACGTTTATGGTGCATAATGAGTCTCCAAGTCAGTGCCATTTGAACACATTTTTGACTGAATATCACGTCATGTTATTGGCACCAGTGCACCTAGGCAGTCAAATTTCTTTTGACATTTTTTAGACAATAATTGAGATAATACTGCATGTGTATGACAGTAATATAAATCTGAGAAAATTCTTTTAGTAAAAACGGCAGTAGTACACAGGGTTACAGAAATAAGAAATAAGGCAGAAGTTTGGGTACTTTTTTTTTTTTTTTCTTGAACATTAAGTGAATTATGTTACAGGTATTTCTTTTACTATTTTTTTCAGTGTATTGCTTTTTTAACATATACATCTGGTTCTTCCATTCAGCAATATATCATGCTTGTTTAGTGCAAGAATTTTTAAGTTTTCCAAGACATAGACAAGAAAACACCACTGATTTGACAAGAATATACCTCAGGACAAGAAAGTACAAAAAACATAGAGCATTTTCTAGGCTGTGGACAGATGAAGGTACAGATGCCAATGTGATCAATACGTTGAGCAGGCTGGACAAAAAAAATGTTCAATAGTCTGTACTTTCATCTGACTTCTAATTGTTATCTGTGGAATAAATTAATGCTGCACGTGTCGGGCATGATGTAGTCAGTAACTATGTTCAGAATCATGTATCGGGCATGATGTAATCAGTATCTATGTTGAAGATCAATCCATTACAGGACTATGTGATCCACAGACACCAGACATAAAATAATTGAAATGCTCTGATTTAAAGGTCTCCTGTGATTGCTGAAATTATAGAGATCACATGAAAATTGAGATCAAGATGAGCCATTTAAATTTCCTTTTCTTTTGTTGTAGTCCAAATGATTTAAGTGAATATCCAAGTCATTTGCATGTTATTGGTCTGAAATTAATTTCAAAGAGTTTGCCTTGGGTGCTTGTGATCATATCCCATATTATGAATGAATCTGAAAACAAGATGTTTTGATTGGCTGTTTTTGGTCAGGTGATTATTTCATGTTTACACCTAGTTGGCTAACTGTTTCTTCAAGAAAGTCTTAAATACAGAGCTATAACTGTCTCCATTTAGTGAAAGATCCACACATAAAGGTCATTTTTAGTTTGGCCATGACATTTTTGATCTCTGTATTACATCACACTTATGGGTATTACTTGTTTTAAATGTGAGTAGGTTGTTTTTAGAAGATGATTGATATGTGTGAGTGCCATTGTGTTTAGTAAATATTTATTACAGTGTATTCAATAGCTTCCGTATGCTAGCTTTTACTTAACTTTTTCCAACATTTATGCCTTGCTATATTTTCCTGCTTTTTGACATTCCTGTTACCAGCACTGTCTCGAGACATTATTATTATTTAGTTTAATTTGAATGCAAATGTTTAATCATGGGTACTGTATATCATAATATTTTAATGTTTAAATAAAAATTATTATGAATGCTGTAACATAACATGTTTGCAAGAAACAGATACATAAGTGTAATGCTTTGTCATATTATACTTGGTACAAATATTTTCACAAATTGAATTAAAATATATATATATTTCCATGCAAGATTTATTAGAGCTTCATGTACTATAAAACTGTGTGATTTAGTGTATTTTTCTTGTTCCTTTTTTTTTTAAATGGCCAGTCCCGCTTGTATTCTTTCCCAGTTGAACAAAATAATTAAGTTGAATGAAAAACACAGCATTCTTGTATATTACAATAGTCTACTGACAGAGATTATCTGTATAACCATTAGTATTAGCTTATTGGGTACTGATGCAGTAGCATGTGAGATGAGCATCAATGTTTGCAAGGTACACATGTCGTTATTATCTGAAATTGTGAAAAAAATATTGTAGAAGTAACTTGCAGGACGTTTTTCTTGATAATTGAGATGACCCTGAAACATTGGAGTGGGTTAGTTTGAAAATGGAATGTGAACTTTTTTTTGATCAAGTATGGGTAATATGAGAAGTATTGTATGAACTTATCTATATATTTATTTTGTAAATTTTATTTAAAAAATTTATTGAGTCAGACGTTCTCGTAGAGTTTCAGGTTAGGAGTTTAAGTTATTCTGGGCTCTGTCATCTGGTGGCACATGACAAATTGTTGAACAGTAATTTTCTTTATTGCAAGAATATCTCATTGAAATTATATGGCAGTGTCTTTCAAACTAATCTACAACGACAATTTATTCATGAAATCCTTCATCCTGTAGAATTTTGCCACATGTTGACATTTTTGTTTTTCATATCATGATGTACCAGTTTTAAAAATTGAACATGTTTTAAAAATATTAAACAAAATGATTTAAATTGTTATATGGAACAAAAAGTCATGGAAACACTGTTTGGCACAGGCTTTGGAATATATAAGTAAATCATGTATATTCAATGGAATATAATAGTTTTACATATATTCATAATTATGACTTCATATTGATTAATGATATTTCAAAGTCAGTAGATTCTTAATAGATGATCAGCTGATATTATTGTATAAATACTTATACATAGATAGGTAAATAATAACCCATAGCATAAACATAACAAGTCATAAGACATTTCAGTTCAAGTCAGATAGTCTAGTTAGAAACATCTCTGATGCCCTTATTAATAATATCCTGATTTTTCGCAGGAAATTAATTATTAATTAGATGATAATCTCCAATGTTTCCAACAGTTGGAATTAGATAAGTCTTTATGTGAAAGATTCTGGTAAAATACATTAGAATAATAACCTGTTAGGTCTTTCTGTATATTACTACATAATGATTGGAACATAATGCTCACCTTTATTAGTGTCATTACATAACATAAAAATCAATCACAATTATATAGAGCAATTTTGCTATATCACATATCAACATCATGGAGTAATGCAGAGTCTGTATTGTTATGTGGTATATAGAACCTGTCTTTTTTTGATGTATTAAAATTGTATGAAAGTAATTGAATAATGCAATATGCTATACACTGCAGAATGTTATTCATGATGTAACACCTTTTATATTGTCATGATGTCTTTTGATGCAAATTTCTTTATCCCAACTAAATTATCAAATGAACACATGTGCAAGATCCTGTATATATGGATATATGAACACTGTCCTGAAATGTACTGATTGTTTTTAAGATATTGTGTTGAGACTATGAAAATGAGCATATAAAGCCTTATTATTAGTATAATTAAAAATCATAGATTCTAAGTTATTTCTTGCTTTTTTCAAGTGCTATGTATGCATTTACTGGAGTTCTTCAGACATATTTACCAGTAGCAGAGATTAAATTTGTGACCTATGGGGAAATGCTCCCACCATAGCAAAAGATCAGGTTCATAAAGCTAGAAATGAATGATACCCTAATTGTTTTATTTTCATAGGTACAGTGGTCCTTCACTGTAAACCCATTATACCACTGCCCCACTTGTAATGCTGGTATAGTATTGGGCAACACTAAATTGTTTTCTTTTTTAATTGATTTTTGACATTTCACTCAATGTTGTGGGCTAATGAGAACCAGTTATAATGTTATTTCAGTATTATAGTCTATTTTATGTTTTGTATGCAGTATTATGACATTGCTTTATGAATCGTACCTCAGTATAAGGTTCTCTCACTTGCAACAGATCACTTTATGGCTTTTATGAAAGCATTATAAAGAGGGAATGCTGCATACATTTTTATAGTTTTACTTTTGATGACATTTTTATCAGTACAGAATTTTCATGGTATACCTGTGATGGAGAACAGGTTTGTAATTTCTTCACAACTATGTGTTAGGTTTCTAATACTACAGTTGGTAGCAAATATAAAATCAACAAAAATTAGTACACAGCAAAGGAATGTCAATTCAGAGTGGTTGGATATAATTAACATTTCACCATTTTTTAAAATGAGTAGCTTAATTTGTGCTGAATTTATTTTGAAGAACATGCTGTTAAGAATCATGCACAACAGCTTTAATTAACTCTAATTTGTAATATAGTACCAAGTTTGCATGATTTTTTAACATTTATATCTTCTGTTTTAGTCCAGTGGTTAAGGCATTGGACGAGTGACCAGAAAGTTGTGGGTTTGATTCCCACCATTAGATTAGCTCAGGTCAGTTACCATGATGTGTTCCTTGGGCAAGTCATTTTACTCGTCTTGACATGGTATCATATTAACAGTGTTGTCATACAACATAGACCACCAGTTTTGGTCTTAGCAGGTACAAAGTAATGCTGTTCTTTACAAACGAGTATTTGTGTGAATTTTAGCATGAAGGTAATGAGTCAGTATAGGCTACAACTTTCATCTAAATACTAATTAAATGGGTCAGAAATATTTATCAGTGTGTGCCAATGAAGGTTTTATTTCTCCATTTTAGGAGTGGTTTAGATTTTTGTATACCTATTCAAGAGCTTGTGATATTGGCTTAAAAATATTCTTTAGTCACCCTCTTTTTAATATATATATATATATATATATATATATATATATATATATATATATATATATATATATATATATATATATAATCTATTATTGTACTCACTTTGAATCTCATCCTTGTATTTAAAACTTTCTATAACTTACACAATTTACATACAGAAGGATGGAATAAAAAGTTTCTGTATGAAGAAAAACTCTTTGTTTTACTTTTATGTAGAAATTTGATTTCTGATGCATTATTTTCTTGGCTTGCTAAGTCATTGACCAATCATGCCATTTGTTTATATTGACTTTTGTCTTATTGGCAGTGATCATCATGGAATGCCTGAAATAATGATGACATTAGTTTTGCAACTGTTTGCCTTTGTTTTGGTCAGCAATGGGTAAATAACAACCCCTCTGCCAGTGCCACTAAGGGAATGTACTACTATAAATCAGCCATTACCAGTCTTTTTATTGAATGCAGCTATACAGTAAAGTATTTGCTTGTAAAGATTTTCTTCAAAAAAGTTACAAACCTTGGACAGCTCAGTGAAGACTTTTTAAGGATTTCAGATAAAACCTGATAGTGTTAGCATCAGCAAGCCATGCCCTCTTGGTTGACCTCATCTACCTTGTTTCTGATCAGATGGCTCATTTTGGGTTGTAACCTTTTTACAGGTTACTGAGCAGAATGATTGATTGATTAGTGTTATGGTATATGAACATATTAGAATGTTTGATTGATTAGTGTTAATTGCATATGAACACATAATGGTTGATTGGTAGTAATGGCATTTGAACCCATGATGAACGATTCTTCTTAGTGGCATTTTAACCCATGATGAATGATTAGTGTTAGTGGCATATGAACCCATGATAAATGATTAGTGTTACTGGCATATGAACCCATGATAAATGATTAGTGTTACTGGCATATGAACCCATGAGTGTTAGTGGCATTTCAATCCATGATGAATGATTCATTGAGTAGTGTTAATGGCATATGAACACAAAGAATGATTACTGTTGATGGCATATAAACACAATGATTGATTAGTGTTGATGGCATATGAAGACATAACTGATTGATTTATTAATGGCTTATGAATCCATGATGAATGATTATTGTTAATGTCATATGAACCTATGATGAATGATTCAGTGAGTACTGTTAATGGCATATGAACACAAAGAATGACTGATTGGTGTTAATTGTACATAAACACATGAAGAATGATATCTGATTGATTAGTGTTTACAGCATATGAACCCATAATGAATGATTCACTGAGAAGTGTTAATGGCATATGAACACATGAAGAATGAGTGTTACATTGATTAGTGTTAATGGCATAATCACACATAAAAGTTTATCATAGACATGACCTGTTCTTGTCTGCACAGGATTCAGCCTTGCACCCTTTTGGAAAAGTCAGGCAAGATTACCTCTGAGCCACAGCATCTACCATTGAGTTAATCTGTGAAGATCTGGGTCAGGTTAGACGAGATACTCATTGGTAATGCTGTAAGACTTGTCAGAGAATTCATGCAAATATTTTGCATTTTCCATATTATGTTTATTTTAATTTAAATGTAAACTATTTCAAATATGTTGATGTTACTTGTGAACATTGTCACTGCTACCCATCTGTGTTTTTGTGGCTTAATGTCATTTCTGAGCAGAAGATAGGCTATGTATGACAGCCAGAATAACTGGTGGAGAAAAATCCGGCAAACCCTGGCGAGAACCAACCTATGGGAAGCTACAAGCAGCTTTTTCACATTGAGATTTGAACCCATATGGACAGAAGAAAGACGACAATGATCTGTAAAGATGAGTGCTTTAGACCACTCTGCCATCCTGGGCCCCTACTACCCTTCTTTTACATGTTAAGGGCCTATTCCTTTAATTTCAACCCTAAGAAATGGTAGAACTGTTGTGTGTAATAGCAAAATTATATGACAAATTGGGACATGGTGGTTAATCAAGAACAGACACCAATACCATTGCATCACCAGTTTGTTTACACCTTGAAAGACTATATTTTCTAGACTTTTGTTCCTGCTTTTCTATTATTTTCATGGTCTAAGTTTTGTCTAAATCTAGTTTTCACAAAATAATTCAACAAAGCACAATTAAAAATGAATAGCAAAGAGGATTAAAGAGTCATCACCCTAATTTAAGTTGGTACAACTATATTAGTGGTTTGTATATATGATATTATTCTTCTGGTGATACCAATTGGTATGGATTTCATGATTTTGACAAACAACATAAAAAGTTGTTGTTGTTGTGGAGCTTAACGCCATTTTTCACCACATGATAGGCTATACATGGCGGCCAGTAATAATGGAGGAAGAAACCAGAAATCACCGGAAAGAACCACCGACCCATGAGAAGCTACTTGCAAGTTTCTCCCATATCCACATTTGCCAAATTCTAGACTCGAACCTATGAAGACAGGTGAGATGGCAGTGATCCGTAACAGACAGTGCTTTAGACCACTCGGGACCACTAGCAAAATTGAATTTTCTGTGACACTTAAGGACCCTTCTCCTATTATGAATTTAGCAAAAATTTAATTTTTTGCAAAACCATGAAGCTGAATTTTTGTCTTCAATAAATATATAGACACAAGAAAAAATAGAAAACAAACGACCAATATCATGGAAGAGTGATGATGGATAAAGAGGTTATACCAAATAAGAGTAATGTTTCTGAAAGGACATTTTTCCAACTTAAGTACAGTATGTTGAAATAATTTACTGTCATTGAGGAGGATAAAAAGCTTCAAATGAACTGTTGCACAATAACATCAATCCCTCCCAAGGATAAAGACACACATATAGTGGGCCTTGAAAAAAAATATTTACCTGAAAAAACTTCAGATGAAAATAATTTCTAAAAGAAACAAAAGATATAAGGCAATAGCATGAGAAAAAAAAGAGTAAAATGGCCTACAAAATAAATAATGAAAGAACATAACTACATGTGGCATTCTTTTGTCCCCAACTATACTAGTTTGAAAACTGAACAGAACTTTTAGCAGATTGAAAGAACACTATGAAAAGCAAACCCCATTAAAACTAAAACAATTCACCTTACAAAACAATGGACTTTAATTAACCCTGAAGCTTTTCTAATGATGATGTTAGTTATCTGGTCCTTATCATGATGTTGACACCTGAGGTTTGGAGGATAATTGTTGAACTAACACTAAAGTCAATAACTAACACAGTAAATATATCTAAATACAGTAATCACAGATCAATGTTAAGACAGTATTATATTTATTGAAAGTATTCATACAAAAATAGGAATACAAGTAATATTTATTCTCTATAAATAATGACAATGTCAAAAGAAACGAGTTCCAACATGAAAATGAGATTGCTCACATCACTGACATTTACCCAACATAAAATGGAAGAGCTGCTGGCAAAGAAATTTGTGTCCAAGGGATGCTTTCTGTAAAAGATTTTAAACTTTGTTTTTCTTTACACGTTATTAAAATAACATACAGTACTTTGTTTCAAGGTTTCTACACATTTTATTGTTGTTGGAATCATGGGTTTAATGTCATTTTCAGTGCATGATGGTTGCCATTATATTTGGTGGAGGAAGAAACCTGGGAAGAACCAGCAACCCACAGAAAGATTCTGACAAGCTTTATCATATACCTAGTTTGGCTGATCCCTACATGCGAACCCACATGGATTGCATTGAGATTTCAATGACCTGTAAAGGCTAACACCTTAAAACAATCTCACAGATTTTCATCCATATTTGATTGCAAAACAGCATCATTCATCAAATACTTAAAGCCTAAAATGCTAGAATGCTTTCAATCAAAAATGTTTAAATTCTTAACGATTTCAATGATTTTGTTTTATGCTTTTAGTAGCTAAAGCCATGTATAATGATGGATTTACAAAATCTGGATAAAATTGATTTTTGACCTGAAAGCTCCTTTGCCCTGGATGCTTTAAAATTTCATCAAATCCGATTTAGTGGTTTTTGCTAAGTTAATTTTCTATTTTTAGTAATGGCAACCATGTTCAATGGTGCATTGGAACAATTTTGTAAATTAGAAAGTCTGTCATTCTTTGATGCTACCTGTCAAATTTGGTCAAATTTTGTTAACCATTTTTTAAAGTAGGCATATAAATAAAGGCAGATTAGCATTATTTGTATGAAAGCACTTCGTCCCCGGATGCTCGTTGAAAGATTTGGTTAAAATTTAGTCTTGTGTTTTTGAAGAGTTTAACATAGGAACTGCTGATTAAGATGTGACACAACACTTTACAAATACATGTCTGTACCATAAGCTTATGTTCATAACAAATAACAAAAAAGAACACTATAAGAAAGGAAATACACAAAATAAATTGTATAAATATGCAGATATTACTGGAAAGACTTTGTATTGGTAATAGTCAATATGTATAATTTTAGTCTAACAAGATACTAACATTCACCTGCCAACCTTGAGAAGTCTTTGCTTAAATGTAATAACAGTTTTCTCCCATGCACACACCCCCAATCCCATTAAGAAAAATCCATTTAAAAATAAAGTTTTAAAGAAAATGAAAAATTACTATACTGGCCAGACACTTTATTAAAGTCATCAGCATATATCATATAAAACTACCAAATTACTGGACTATCTAAAGAAG